TCACTTTATAAGAAGGAGATTACCGGAAAAGGAGGCGGACAAGGAGCAGCAAGAACAAGGAAGAGATCGAGAACCAGAGGATGACTCACATCGCCGTCGAGAGAAATCGCCGGAAACAGATGAATGAGTACCTTGCCGTCCTCCGATCTCTCATGCCTCCGTCTTATGCTCAAAGGGTTAGTCTTTTATACTCTTATATGTGGATTTGTGTGTATACATACATTACATGTATGAACAAAATTTATGCACGCAATATATGATTGCACATATAATCGCACACAGATTTGAAAACGGATGAGACAATTTGTGAGGGTGTATATGTATTGCTATACTGTGAAAGTCTTGAATATATTTATCTTCTTATGGATCGGTTTTTGAGAAAAAGCATCGAACTGACCAAACAAAAGGAGATCTGTATCTCTTGGTTTCATTGATGAAAAAGAACCCTAGTCACATTTATGTGTGTATGTGTATACGTAATACATATTTACACAATCTAGTGGTTAATTTGGAGACAAGTACGTATTATATATGTTGTCAGTGAGTGTGAATACTGTAATATTTCCAACCATGTTTGTATCGAAAATTCTGATGCATATATATAAAATTAATCTTTAGATTGATCGGATGAATTAATTAGCAAATCCAATCTATACATATATGGTCATTAAGAAAAAGCAACCGGAGAGTACATTTCATGAATAGCGAATAAAAGCTATGCATGATACAATTGGCAAAAGAAGAGAGAAAGGAGCTTTAAAACGAATATTCAGCTACATATATATATATATATGGTCCCGAAAATGGTACACAAATGATGGAATCGTGCTCTTTATTTTTCTCTTTTGCTTTTTCCGCTCCATAATTTGTTGGTGATTGGAACTGTGAAGGGGGATCAAGCGTCAATAATAGGGGGAGCCATAAACTACGTAAAAGAGCTCGAGCATCTCTTGCAGTCAATGGAGCCTCGGAGGAAGACTCGAAACGATGACGTAGCAATGGACGACAGAAACAACACCTCCTCCTCCTCTCCGCCTCCTTTCTCCGACTTCTTCACATTCCCTCAGTACTCGTCACGGCCGTCGGTGGAGTCGCCGGCGGCGGAAGGGACGGCGGAGATAGAGGTGACGATGGTGGAGAGTCACGCCAACCTCAGGATCCTCTCGAGGAAGCGACCCAGACAGCTCGTTAAGCTTGTCTCTTCAATTCAGAGCCTTAGCCTTACTCTTCTTCATCTCAACGTCACCTCTCTTGGTCATTCCGTCCTCTACTCCATCTCTGTCAAGGTAATTTCTCTGTTATCTTTTTCAGATTTCAGCTTTCTATTTATAAGTAAACATACACAAGTCTTCAAAAAGTTTGGTTCTTCTGGTTTTGGATAATAAAATAATCAGACATACGGTTATTAAAAAATTTGGATATGTCTAGCTAGAAGCTTAGAAGTTAGAACTATGTGATTTAATAACAAAAAAATAAAACTCAATAACCCAAAATATAGCACACTGAATAATCCGAAGAACTGCGAGGTTTTCAAGTTTTGCTTTTACATCTTGTTGTTTTTTTTCTCCTTGGGATTATATTGTTAAATTTTGACCCTACCGGTATTTGTGGCATTTACATTCATTAAAACAAGTAAGTTTGGATATGGTAAGATTGTCCTAAAATGCGACTATTTTGTTATTTAATTAAATTAATTTTACTATGACATGTTTAAATTATATGCTGAGAATAATATTTGGTAATGTAGGTTGAAGAAGGGAGCCAACTGAACACGGTGGATGACATCGCAGCAGCTGTGAATCAGATCCTAAGGAGGATTGAAGAAGAGTCTGCCTTTAGATAGTTTAATTAATTCATTAAATTTTCGCTATGTTAAACCTTAAATGTTGCAGTTAAAATAAATTGTATCTCTTTTTTATTATAAAAATATTCTTCTTTCATGTAAGTTGCTTCATGCGTCTCCTGTAACGATTAATCTAACAGTCCGCAATAACCTATTGAAATTAGCTTCCTGAAAATTTCGATGATGGCGGAATCGTTCCCCTTCTTTTCAACATATTTATTTTTAGATTCTGTAGAAAGCACACATTCGGTAGTTTACAGTTTAGAAAATAACCATTAATCAAGGTTTACAATTACTGAAACATAGAGAAGTCAAATCAAAACCGAAAACTATAATGATTATATCAAAAAGTGTATTTTATAAAAAAAAAAAACATTACGGAATGAGGAGTGGGTACGTGGGTTTCATGCAAGAAGACGATGATCATTGTCGTATAATGAAGATCCCCATCAAAGATTTTAGAATCTGTTGTCACTTTTTGCAAAGGCACAGCTACGCCATAAAAGCAAGCCTATCGATGTGATTAAATTTGAAGTATTATATATAAAAAGAAACGGTCTCTCGTGTGTGTGTGTATATATATATATATATATAGCTACAGCAGCTTTTTCATCATTGGTATTAGAAACATCTCCCTCATTTGTCACACACTATATATATATATATATAGATATAACGGGTTGATTGTAATTTGCATATAGTTATAAGTATTCTGATAAGTATTCGGATTAAAATTATTTATTCTAAAAATACGGAACCTTTGGCTTGTATTCTGAAGACATGATTTTTATGTGTAACCGCTATTCATATCAATGATTTTGTCAAAGTCTTTGACTGTGAAGGAAACTATAGGAGATGTATTATGGAAATGTATTCCTTAAATAACTACACGTACAGTCGGTGTTCGAACTTGGATCTTGTGGGTGTCGTAGAATCTGTTTTGGAGAAAGACATTGTATTTTATGACATGAAGTGTGTATAAAAATACATTAATGTTGTAATTAAAAACTATAATTATTGTATGAACAGACGTATATCTATGAAACATATCTTTTCGAGATTTGGAAAATATCATTGATAATTTCTTTTGGATGCATGATGGGTTAGTCTTTTTAGGAGAAGAAAAATGGTGAAAGTGTAACAAAAAAGAAAAGGACTTTTCAAATTGAATTGACAACAGAGAGACCGAGTACACATCAAGTCTCGTTCTTTTCAAAACGCAGCCGTTTCAAGAATCAAATGATTACAAATTGAAAGAATTCGGTTTCTAACATTCTTGAAATAAATCCATCGACCAATTGTTTTATAGTAATAGATGTAATCCTAATTAAAATATTATTGAATACAAATATTTCAATTATAATTATTAGGGGCAGTAATTATAACATATTTAAAAAAGAAACTAGGTACGTTATATGCGCAAGTAATTTTATAACCTTTCAATATATTACACGATAACTGTTAAACAGTCACATATAGATCTAATGGATAAATGTTAAATGGAACATTGGAGAAGAGCAAAGACTGTTCATTTGCCCAAAAACAACGTTGACAGATTCAATGGAGGCGGACGGAGCCCAAAATGGCCTCATAAGAATTATTTTTCCAAACGAGGAGAGGAAGGATGTCGGTTACAGTTATTAAAAAATAATATTAATTATTTTTTCCAAACAATGAAATTAGGTTTCCATGCAAACATAATCATTATTCTATTTTATATAAATTTAATATTATATAGACCAATCACCGTTAAATAGACCATATTTTCAATCGTTGCAATTTTAGAACTTTCACTCGGTTTTAAAACTAAAAATCATATTTTTTTCTTCTACCATAACAACATTTTTAGAAAATGATCGCGCCTCTTGAAACCATATGTTAAACAATATATATTTTAAGAATTATTTATATATATTCAGTTTGTATCTTTTATTACATATGTTAGTGCCTCGTTTTGTGCGAAAACAACATTATATAACATGTTTATACAGATTTGGTGAGCTTGCATGATCAGACGGACCCTCATTGCTCCAAACCTCACCTAACCCACTTTCCCATCCAATTTGATCTTAGATTTTTTCGTTTTCATATCTAACTAACTTAGATGTTAATTTGAGTAAACCTTACTTAAGAGTTGGTCTAGTTAAGCCCTAATACAAAATTATATGGAAAAACCCAATTAATCGCATTTGTTAGTGTTAGTGTGATTAATTAGTGAGATTAAAATTAAAATTGGGGTCTCGATGGTATGGCTCACTGATTGATTGCCGCTAGGAAAGATAACTAATATGCTTTTCCATTAGTCTATATATAGAATTATTGGGAAGCACCTATGTCTGCCTTCTTTCCCTTTGTGGTGGGTTCGTGACTTGAGTGCTCTAATGAACTCGCTTTTTCTCCAATGGATTAATTAATGTTAGGATACATATACATATATATATATATAGGGTTGTGTTTTGTATGTACATACGGGTGATGGTGTATATAAGGAAAAATATGGTTTTTTTTACCCAAAATAAAAAAGTATAGTCAAAATTGCATGTTTCAAGTTAGATTATATCGACTTTTAGGATAGTAGATGAGTGGATCTGTAATGTTGTGTGTTTAAATGTTGTTGTAACTTATAATTTGTAAAAGCAAGACACACTATAATCTTTTTTAAAGTTTGATTAAGTAAACACTCCAAATTTGATGGGGCCTATATCATCGAGTACGTCCCAAGCCACTCATCACAACCCCTTAGAGTGGAGACCTTTTACACACGTTTAGTTGGAGGCAAGTAGCCCAAACTCTTACTGATTCCACATCTGACATACCCTTTTTTGTTCCAATTATATATATATATATATATATATATATATATATATATATATATATATATAAACAAAACAAGATTCAGCAATTCTGTACACACACATATACATATGTATACATGGAAAAGGGCAATGGTAGAGGATGAACTGCAAATTTCGATATATCATATATACTATTTAAATGATTCACCAGACTAACGTACATATCCGAAAATCGGTCCAAAAAGTTTATAACTCTAATGATATGTGGAAGTTTAAGATTTATTTGGTGTACCTTCTCGCTAAGGACTTGTTGGATAAGAGAGGTGTCGTTGGAGATACTGCTGATGATCTCTGAAATGGAAGCTTCTTGTGAATCAAAGAAAGAGACTTCCTGTCTTAGAACAGCTTCCAGATATGTCCGGCGAAAGCACCATATACTTCTTTCCTCTAAAATGGCAAACTTGATAAGTACAGTTGCTGGTTGCGTAGTTCTCTTGTTGTTTGTCGCCGCACCCTCCTCGGCCACCACTCGCACGGTCGATTGGTCGCTCGGCACTGACTATACTTCATTGGCCAGTAGCAAGACCTTTGTCGTCGGCGATATTCTTGGTAACTTTACTTTCCATACCTTAGATGCTCTTTGCTCTATATAAGTTCCTCTTATTATGCGCTTTTTTAAGACAATCTCATAACCGATCTTTTGTATCTCTCTTGTTCCTCTTATATTCTAAACACTCTCAGACGGTCAAATTTCATATGGGTTCCTCGTGTTATATTATGTGCTTACACTTTATGTTAATGGCGTGATACAGTGTTCAACTATGGGGCGGGACACACTGTCGATGAAGTGAAAGAAAGCGACTACAAGAGCTGCACCGTCGGAAACTCCATCTCCTCCGACAGCAGTGGAACCACTTCCATCGCTCTCAAAACCCCTGGGACCCACTTCTTCATCTGCGCTGCTCCTGGCCACTGCTCTGGCGGCATGAAGCTCTCTGTTTCCGTCGCCGCCGCTGGATCTGGCACTTCCGCCGCCACTCCCACCCCTTCCTCCGGCGGTAGCACTACTACTCCGGCCGGTTCCTCAGGCGGCAGAGCAACTACTACGGCGGGTTCCTCGGCTTACGTGGCGGTGCCGTCGGCGTTGGTTGCGACTTGGGTTGCTGCTGCCTTGCATGGTTTGGCTCTCTCTTGTTTTTGAAGTTATATGATTGATTTACGTATCACGTATGTATGAATGATATGGAGAGCTGATGTTTTACTCGTTTAGAGACCATGCTACATGGAATTACTATATGCCCTCTCTTACCCTTCCTACGCTATTTTTTTTCATCTTCTCTATTTAATTCATGCTTAGATTGCTCAATGAAAAACGCTTTTAATATTCGTTCATTGAACTGATAGAAAAAATGATTTGAATAACTGCTTCTGCACATAGACATCTAATATTCCGAATACCATAGTTTTTTTTTTCGTTTCACTATGTGGTTTTAAGAATTGATGGGTTATAATGGTTGATGGTAATCCTAATCAACACAAAATCCATAACCAACATTTTAGTGATACAATCAAGGTCAAGAATGATCGTGGGTGTAAATTCGATTAAAAAAAAGTAACCGTAGAACATCATGATGATACACATGTCAAAAGCCCAATACGGCCCAATATTAAAGTGTCTTATATGGCTCGAGGGCCCATCAGACCACAATTTCCAACTTTCAGAAAGGTGCTGTTTTGCTATGTCAAATACAACGATGTTACCTTTAGAAAGTTTTCCTTTGAATTTATTTTTTGTTTAACACTTCAAGAATTTTGTTTTTGTATTATGAAGGCAAAATGCGCGTGAGCATGATTAGAATTGAAAATTGATTGACAGAAACCGAAGACCTAATAAAAAGATGTTAACGGCAATATCTTAGCCAAAGATGAAAAAATATGAATGGTGATATATCTAATCAACGGCCGTTGATGAATGCTGAAATCCCAACTAAAAATAAAATGGCAGCTTTATATAAGTTTCCAAATGCTATCTTAAATATGATAAATCCGTTTCCCCCTTCCTCGGAATGATGAAAACCTATAACTAGTACCAGAATTATATTTAAATTTTCGTATAAAGTCAAACATCTGCTTAGATCCATATTCACATGGACCCATCTCCATATATCAAAGAAACTTGGGTATAGAATTAGAGGTGTGTATATATATGTATGTGTATATCGATGTTTATGTTCGCACCAACGCTTTTTTTTACTTTTTTTTTTTAAAGATATTTGCAGTCATTCTTTATTTTTCTATAATATTAAAAAGTAATAAAATTCGAGATCGAGGTACGATTTTTTTGTTTTATTTCGTTATAACATCTGTCGAGGTTTCGTCACATTCCCAAATTTGTCGTCTCTCTCTCTCGCAAAGAAAGGGTCATTTATAGGCAACTCACCAAGAAAACAGAGCGAAGTGTCAAATAACACGAAGCCAAGAAGAAGACGAAGAGAGGAACACGAACAAGAACCTGAGGAAAAAAAAGATCCGTTTTTTCTGAACCTTTGACAGATTTTATTGGACGTTGACGTTCTGATTGTTTCCCGGCGACGGAAGACGGCGGAGGTGGAGATTGTGTGAGAAATGCAGCGGCGGAGGAGGGGTGTGGTGGCGATAGCACGGAGGGTGCTAATATGCGCCATATGCGCAATGGCGCTCCTCGGTCTTCTGTCCGTACACCTCCACGTTTCTTATTTCAACGGACTTCCCAAGCTGCACCGTTTCGCTAGAGTCCGTACACCACGATCCCTTTCTTCCCGATTCTTCCATCGTCTCTTTTCCCTTTTTCCTGTCATGATTTTTCGTTTGCGAGGTTCAATGTTTGATCTTTGTTGTATTCTACGAGTTTTCTCTATTGGGTTTCTGATACTATGGTTATTTCGGGATTTTATTTTTCTCTTTGCAGCAAGAAGAAGAAATCAAATACGACAAATCGATCAAGGGACAGAGGTTGGCGAGGAATTTGTCTCCTCCTCAATCGAGGGAAACTCCTGCCATCCCCAAAGCCAAGGTTCTGTTTTTTCTCCCTGGTTTTTTGGTACAGCTTCATATTTTTCTCTAATCGCTAGACGATATGAATATCTAGAAATCACGTTGGAAGTGTAGTCATGGCAACCTTTGGATGCTTGAATTGTCCAGTTTCAGCAGAATGGGATTCATTACCATAGCTTAAGTACGGAACATAGGTGGACACATGAGCTTGTTCCTCCGCATTTTTCAAAGAGTTACGTTTCTCCCGCAAAGGTAAATGTCTCTTATGTTCTGATCCTTTGTTTAAACTCGTTTTGTTGCAAAAAATGGATCTTTGAATAGATTTCCCGTGAATCCCAAATCGTGTTTTGGGGAATGATTCTGCTTATGTTTTCTAAATCATGTGGAGATCAATATCACTTGTTTCAACCAGTGTTAGTCTAATGTACTGTAAAACCGATTATGTGTGGTAAATTTGTATGAAAGATCCAAGAACTCCAAATTCCCAATGTGGATATCATTCATGTTTTCAAAGCTTGTCTGGTTAATTCTGCTCTCTTGAACATATACTAAGATCATTTAGGGGTATCATATAACTTTGGGCAATCACAGAAATGTGTGTTAGACTCTTTTTTTTTTTTTTTTATAAATAAGAGGGTCATTACCTTTTCCGTGTGTTTTCACCCCCTTAGACTTGACAGTTGAATGTTACAAGCCGGATGCCCGATTTCGAGAAGCTTTGGAAGTCTCCAACAAACCGCGGCTTCGTGCCTTGTATTGATCCCAGCCCTAACTACACATGTAAGGAAAGCTAATTGTTCTTCTAAAATGCCATCTAGCAAGCAAACTGTCTGATTATTCGATTCTTCAGCTTCAAAGGGATCGAGAGGCTACCTTCTAGTTCACACTAATGGCGGGCTTAACCAGATGCGTGCAGGAGTAAGTTTTTTCTTTTTGTGTTTTTCATTTCTTGACATTCACTTTGTAAATACATTTCTTGAATTCTGAAATTTCCAGATATGCGACATGGTAGCTATAGCCCGGATTATAAACGCTACACTTGTAGTACCTGAGCTCGATAAGAGATCATTTTGGCAGGACACCAGGTATTAAGCCATCTCCTCGTTTTCTTTTGGCTCTCTGCCTCATTTTTCTCGTAACTTTGGTTTCTCTTTTCCATGAATGCAGCAACTTCTCTGATATATTTGACGAGGATCACTTTATCGTTGCTTTGTCTAATGACATAAAAGTCGTTAAAAAGCTTCCTAAAGGCATTGGAGGAGTTACAAAAGTCGTGAAGCATTTCAAAAGCTATTCTGGATTGAATTACTACCAAGAAGAGATTGCTCGCATGTGGGATGAATATGAGGTGCTTTGAAGCTTGTTTCTTTTTTTTCTTTCTCGATTTCTTTGTTTCAGCAATCCTTTTTTTCCATGTCTATCCACAGGTAATCAGAGCCGCCAAATCAGATTCTCGCCTTGCAAATAACAATCTCCCTCCAGATATTCAGAAGCTGCGGTGCCGTGCCTGCTATGAAGCCCTACGCTTTTCTCCTAAAATCGAAGCAATGGGAAAAGTAAATTGTGATTTATACCATTAAGTTACTTCCTCTAAAAGTTTTTGATTTTTATTTATCATATCGCAGTTGTTGGTTAATCGGATGAGGTCTTACGGACCTTACATTGCATTGCATTTGCGATACGAGAAGGACATGTTGGCATTCAGCGGTTGCAACCATGGTTTATCTCCTTCTGAAGCTGCTGAGTTGAGGAAAATAAGGTAAAAAAGATGAACAAAAATGCTGAGAAATCGCAGGTTTTGAATCGAATCGTTTTTGTAGGGAGAATACGGCGTATTGGAAAGTGAAGGATATTGATGGAAGAGTGCAGAGACTGAAAGGGCACTGCCCTCTGACTCCAAAGGAAGTCGGGATCTTTCTAGCGGCTCTTGGATACCCATCAAGCACTCCTATTTACGTTGCTGCTGGAGAGATTTACGGCGGCGAATCACGTATTTCCGATCTACGCTATCGGTTCCCCATGTTAATGAGTAAGGTAAAAACTATTCATTCATTCCTTTAGCTTCCTGAAGCTAAAATTGAATCTAAGATTGTTTGGGACAGGAGAAGTTGGCAAGCAGAGAGGAGATGGAGCCATTCATGAAGCATGCATCTCAGATGGCAGCCCTTGACTACATTGTCTCGGTTGAGAGCGACGTCTTTATTCCCTCGTACAGTGGAAACATGGCAAGGGCTGTTGAAGGGCACCGCCGTTATCTTGGCCACCGTAAAACTATTTCTCCCGACAGGTATGTATCTTTAAGATTCCAGCAGCCAGAAGCATATGAATGTATCTTACAGTGAATAATGTGGAACAGGAAGGGGATTGTACGATTGATAGACAAAATGGAACATGGGGCTCTGAAAGAGGGCACAAAGGTGTATGACAGAATCATTGAGATCCACAAAACCCGGTACCGATCATATGAAGTGGCCTGATGCTATATATATCATGTTTTTTGGGAATAACGGAAAACGTTGGTGGTGCAGACAAGGATCGCCGAGGAGGAGAAAAGGACCGATATCGGGGACGAAGGGGATGGACAGATTCCGATCGGAGGAACCCTTCTACGAGAACCCCTTGCCTGACTGTCTTTGCCACCTCAATACCTCTTCTTCTGCTTCTGCCGCCGCCTGGTAATGTACATTCATCTATACAAGCACAGATAAAGATGGTACAGGTAGCCGCTCGTTATTCTTTTGATACGTTTATTCGTTCAAACCCCGTCGAAGGATATTAGTTCCGATGATACTTAGTGACGAGTGTACACATGGAGAGGGATTTGGTCATCTGATACATAGAGGATTGGACAGATTCTGACAAAATTTGGAAGACTGTGTATGCCCTTTGTAGTGAAAACTCTTCTCGATACTCTGTGTTTTCTAGAGAGAAGTGAGAATTATCTTGTACAGGATTTTTCATCACATATAGACACAGACATTGCAGCCAAAGAGTGCGAAGAATCAGAGATGATAAAGAGTATGTGAATATGATCCTCTGCAACTGAAGCATTGAAGTTATTGTAGACGGCCAAGAAAACCTCACGCTTTTATGGCTGGGTTAGCTTGTAAAAAAAACCGATACAGGGTGATGTAATAACCTTATTACTATACTCAGCAGTTGGGAACTCCCCCCAAGAATTCACCTTTCCATCAAACGAAAGAGAAAAGTACAATGCGGGATTCACATTGTTGAACCTGAAATTAGGGCGGCAAGACGATTGTAAGGGCTGTGGCTCGACTCTCTTACAGAGGCCCCGGGAAAGTCCCATTCTCCCTTTGCTCGTTCCACCTCTCTACCTGTAAAAACAACAATCCCACAGAGAGTATTATTTACCTTGGAATAATGATTACCACAGTAATAATGTTGAGGTTTAACACGAATATGCAAGAGGAGACGAGAAGGTTTCTGTATGTCCAGAGGATTCATAAGATGGGCGAGGAAGAGAATGCCCAAGATTATATTAATAAACTCTTTGGAAAGGGAACGAAACACAAAAACTGTATCAAGCCCCCGAGTAAGGTGATGAAAGCATACCCATTCGCTGGGACAGAGAGAGCGATAATATTTTGCAAACTTATCACATTCTTCAGCACCTTCACCCTTGGCAGCCACACACCTGGAAACATGATTTAGAGAGCACACATAAAAAAGGGATACCTAAAATGTGAAAAACAAAACAGAACGTAACCTTCAGCTAACCTGTGATACTCAATGTAACGAGTGAAGCAATGCCTTGTTTGGTTTGTTGTGGGGAAACGGAAGTCTGCTGGGGCTGTCTCAAGCTGGAAAGCACCAAACAAAAGACCCGACTCAATCATAAAATGGTAAGGGATTGACAATACAATTTAGGCAAGATATGTATCAAATAATGAGACAAATGCTATCAATGATGATCATTCAAGTACCTTGATCTCGGAGGCTTCCTCCTCAGCAACTTCTTCACTGGAATTTTCGTCACTATTCTCTTCAGCAGCAGGAGTTTCTTCAGCCAAAGCAGGAGCCTCGGTACTTTCTTCTGTGGAAACAGGAGATTCGTTCTTCTCTTCAACTGCAGGAGCTGGGCTGCTTTCTTCAGCAGGGCAACCTCTTCGGTCTGAGTGGAGACTACAGGTGCTGCCTCTTTCACTTCCACAGACTTAGAATTTGACTCTTGTTTCTCGTTTTTCTCCAACAGATATTGCTGCGCCAACGGAACCATCAGGCCGGCCAGAAGAATTTCTGAGTGTTAGATACCAGCTAATTGTTTCACTAGCCAAGACTAAGAGTGTCTGAAATCACGACTTAGAATAAGCCGTCTCCGAAAAATACTAAATGCAAGCTGATACAAAGAAAAGAAAAACACACACAATACAACCCGTCCACATTCCTCCAAATAATTTATGATTCGAGCTTCAAACTTAAAATTGGTCAGGAGAAGATATCTATATCATTTGAGAAAGAAATGGGTCTGGATTGCAATTCCAACAGGGAAGCATATCAGCAATTAACATTCATCGAAGAAAGTTTAGATCTTTGTTTTTTCTATGCAGTTCAATACACTCTGTAAACTGATGTAGCTAACACAGGCACATCGCTCTAAGACAACAAAATTGTCAAGCCCCAATGTCAACCTGAAGTCCAATCCATTTCAGGTATATAGATCGATATGGAAAACACTAACGAAATCAAATCCAATTGGGATATTCTGCACGGCCAATAATCGAACTAAATCAGATCTCCGATCGAATAAAATAAAAAATAAAAGAAACAAATCGACAGAGATCTAAATCGATTTAGACCCTGAAATCAAATACAAATCGACGATAACCAACTCGTTCATGAACATTTCAAGCGAAGATTGATCGAAAACAGAACATTTACGAAAAACAGAACCGAGAGACGACGAGAACATGGGAGCGGGGAAAGAGAACCTCGGAGAGAGACGGAGTTTGAGGAGCCGCGGTTTCCGCCATTGGAGTACGGATGAAGGATCTCGGAGATTCTGAGCGGCAACTATTGGATCTGAGAATCTTTTATCGATAACACGAGTAGCGAGAGAGAGAGAGAGAGGGTAGGTTTACGCTCTCGAGTTACTTCTCGATCAGCGATTACAACCAGATCGTTAAAACGACAGCGTTTTGTTTCACCATTACTGGGCCTTACCATCGGGCTCGCTCGAAGCCCATAACTATCTGTCGAAAATTGTACCCAAATGCATGTTCTGAATGATTGTTTGAAATTTTATTATGATCAATCCGAAAACATTAGGCAAAGAAAATGAATTAAGTAAACCAAATTGAAATTGTTTGAAATAAAAAGGTGAACAGAAAAACGATATAATGGACTAACGAATAACGATCATTGGAAAAATTTGTTTAAATCCTGTTAAATAAGATAGTGTAAATAAATTTCTAAACAGAGAAGATATAAGGAAACAAATGGAAAAACATTATAAAATTATCAAATTGCGTATTAGCCAAAGCATATGGGTATATTATAAAATTAATGAAATGCGTCAGCATGATAACAAAATATGGACAAATTCTCGTCGTACTCACTCACTGAGTCACTTGTGAATAAAGAAAGATAAGGTGTTGCTAGAAAATCCTCATTAATTACATGCTAATCCGTGATTAAAATATCCTAACGACGATTTGACGGTTCGCGTTACGTGATGTGATGGCTGTCACTGGATTAAATATCAGCCGTTGGATCCTGAGGTGGAAGGCGTTCAAGTGGGAAGCAGAGGATCACTGCCCCCCAATAAAGAAGTTCGTAAAGTGTCCGTAGGGGCTATTCTCTATGGGCCCTTCAAGGTCTTCAGAGCTTTTGACCGGAACGGGCGTTGAATAACCCGTTAACCCGACCATGTTTTTTTTTTAATGACGGCATTCAATACACATATATAATATTATAAAATATGAGCAACAGAAGAAACGTCCCGTTCGATTATTCTAAAAATATATATCTCAAATTTCTATATTTAACTGAAAATAGATGTTAAACTGTTTCTGGTGTATCGCTTGAATCTCCTTTGAAATAAGTAGTGCAATTCATAATGACAATATTGAAATGAATTCGAGTGAATGAACGTACAGTTTAAAAGTTTACAAATCATTGGTAATTAATATCAGAGTGATGAAAAACAGGTGCTGTGCATGTCTCACGGCAATGTTGGTTTACTTTAAAAAGAAGAGAACTTTAAGAACCAAAAAGTCCATCTCTGTTTTTTTTTTTTTCAAATTATTTATTTGTGAGAGAGAAACTATGGCCATTAGGTGAAATTAACATATCAAACAAAAAAATACATAATATATTTCAATGCAGTAGCTTAGGAGATTTAACTATAATAAATTTTTTTTTGAACTATAAAGGTTAATGGATGGCAGATTCAAATGGAAAAAATCTAAATAGAAGTATGATCATACACAGACATGTGGATAGATTAGTGTATTAATTGCATTGAGAGAATCCGATACACAGACAAATAATTTCCTTTTCACTTTGGGTTATATAAAATCTGAACAAAATACAAGTCATATTGGACCATTTATTATTTAATATTGTTATTGTCATTTTTAAGCCTCAGAATATTTTCAAAAAAGGAAAAGAATCGTCGTCTTCTTCCTCTTCTCTCTCTATACGAAAGAAAACTAGATTTGAGCCATACATATAAGACGAGGAGAGCCCCTGCTTCCATCCTGTTTCTAATGGACAAGAGTTGCAGCGCCTCCGGTGACTCCTCCGCCGCAAGCTATACGGGAAACAGAGATAGTTACCTGAGACAGCTCAATAAGCTCTCCCACAAGATCTCCAAACCAACATCCATTACCACCGTGAAACACCCCGGGTTTGACCCGAACCCGAATAACTGCGTTCCATCTCCACCGCCGGCGAGCAATCATGGGAATCTCCTCCACCATCATCAGCCTCCTGTTTACAACATCAACAAGAACGATTTCAGAGATGTGGTGCAGAGACTCACCGGGTCACCTTCCCACGAACGGATCTCTTCTCCGCCGCCGATTCACCAGCCCAAGCCCCAGAGCTCGCGTCTCCAGAGGATTCGACCTCCCCCACTGGCTCACCTTAGCAATCGCCCGCTCAACCCGGCCATTCCGATGACCAGCGCGATTTCGGCGGCACCGCTCTCTCCTCTCCCGCCTCTACCGCCGTCTCGGTTGAGCTCAACTCGGTGTCCACCGTGGATTCCAACCCGAAGCAGTTGTCTGGGTTCTCACCGTTGGCTCCTCTGTTCTCTCCCCGGCGGTACCAGCAACAGGAGAACGCTCCGCCGGAGAGGGCGGCGACATCATCATCGGTCCCGGCGCCACCGCCACCGTTGGGGTGTATGAGCTCGCCGAAGTCTCATTACGGTCTTTTTTCTCCGAGCATACCGTTGTCACCGACGCCCGGTCAGTTAGGGCTTCCTCTGTCTCCGACGACGGTGCCTGTTCCGAGCCCCGGATACAAAGGTCGTTGACCGGAAAATACAGAGCACCATATCTCAGAAGCAGATGAAAACGGTGTCGTTTTCATGGGGGAGAAGCAATGAATTACTCTTGGTCTCTCTTTTTTTTTTTTTTGTAAATGATTAGTGGGGGGTGGATTGGTTAAATTGAAATTACTCTCTTTGGACAAATGGTTTGTCTGGTTGGATGCTTGTTCATATATATACCATGATGGGTGGAATTTTTGAAAGATCACATAATGAGAGATGTCTTCAAAGCTTCCTAGTTGTTACTTTTGTTCCCTTTTCAGCAAAAACGCGCATCTTCCCAAGTGTGTTCTTCAGACTGACAAAGAACATAGATAGTTAGCTAGCTTCATGGTAAAATCAACCCCACAAGAAAGCTTCATGATGATCCTGAGTTCGAATCCAGCGTGGAAATCCAGAGAGATGATTCAACTTGCCATGACAGAAATGAAAATACAAACAAGCCAAGCCACAGAGAAACAAACGGTCTCTTTCTGATTAAAAATGACACCCTAAACTAGCAGTTCCCGCAAAGATTTCACTTCACTGCTCTTCCTCCCCCGGCTTTGCTGCTGCCTCCTTGATCTCATCCGCAGCATCATCCTATTCCATCCACACATCAATCAGCACAGTTTATATTTTTCGAATCCACGAATGCGTACAACATCAAGAAAGGGTCGGATAAAAGACCTGCATGTCGGAGGTCCACAGAGTAAGGTTGTCTCGGAGGAGCTGCATGATCAAGGTGCTGTCCTTGTAGGACTCCTCGCCCAGGGTGTCCAACTCGGCTATTGCTTCATCAAAGGCCTGATACATCCAAGAACGAGTCACAGCATTGCAAGAGGGAAGAATAAAAGAGAGTCTGATATAGTTTTCTCCCATTCCGTTCTATAAACCAGCAGAAAAGAGATGGGTTTTCTTTCAATTGGAAAGCTAGTCTAATCTTGCATATGGCGAAGTGCTCATACAATTTCACATGGTACATTTTGATCCAACCAACATCGGTGATGGTGAACGAGATCACCTGTTTAGCGAGGTTGCAGGCACGATCAGGGGAGTTGAGGATCTCGTAATAGAACACAGAGAAGTTCAACGCGAGACCGAGTCGGATTGGGTGAGTAGGAGCGAGCTCTGCGTTTGCAATTTCCTGCGCATAGATTTACATGTATGAGGCCTTTTCAAAAGACAACACTGAGAGAAACCCACAAACAATCGCTTAAATCCCCCGACGCAAACTTGCCTAAATCATAATTCGGAAAAGCAGTCCGGGTAAGAAATCCAAATGCTTTTTATTAAATCCTACGCAGATAAGAATCAGAGTGCACGAGGTCCGACTCATTAGGCGCTTGAACTCGATTCAAACACTAAACTAAAGAAAATAGCACGAACCCAGAAGAAAACTCAAGTGCTAATATGGATCGAAATCCGTTGAATCGACAGCCACAAAATCACAAAACAACGCCCAAAATCGACTAGATCTAGTACTGAAATAGGAAATGGAGGCAAAAAACAAAACCTGTGCGGACTTGTAGGCAGAGAGGGTGTGCTCGGCGGCGTCCTTCCTCTCCTGACCGGTCTTGAACTCGGCCAAGTACCTGTGGTAATCACCCTTCATCTTGAGGTAGAACACCTTGGAGTCGCCAGAGGCAGCGGAAGGGATGAGCCTGGAGTCGAGCAGCTTGAGGATCCCGTCGCAGATACCGGAAAGCTCGGACTCGATCTTAGCCCGGTAGTCGCGGATCGCTGCGACGTGGTCGTCGTTGCCGCGGCTCTCCTCCTTCTGCTCGATCGAGGAGATAATCCTCCAGGAGGCGCGTCGGGCTCCGATGACGTTCTTGTAAGCGACGGAGAGGAGATTCCTTTCCTCGACGGTGAGCTCCTCGTTCTCCACCGAGGCGGAGACCTTCTCCATGAACTCCACCATTTCCTCGTACCTCTCCGCCTGCTCCGCTAGCTTGGCCATGTACACGTACTCCTCACGCGCTGAGACCGTCATTGTCGATCCTTGGAACCAAAGACCCAAACGCAGAAGAGAGAGAGAGAGAGAGATGTAGGTTTTGACGAAGGAGAAAGGGGCGTTGTGAAAGGAGTGGGGAGCGAGAAATGCGTCGAAGAAGAAAAGGTGGAAAGAATGAATATGGGCCGTTGGATTCGAGCGTCCCAGTGCTTGTTTTTTAAGGCCCTCTTTGGTTGGGGCCTGTTAGGGATATATATACATATATATATATTCTTTTTTTTTTCTAATTAATACAGAATCTTTACAATTGAGAAAGTCATTTTGAAACTGCATATGATATCTAAAGGATAACAAATAAAACAACATAAATTTCCAATTTCTATAGATTTTGATATGGTCTAATTACAAGAATCATACATTCCTTATCAAAATATAGCATACACCACCATTCATTTATCATGCACGTGCAAGAACTTGGTGTTTTTTTTATATTGTTGTGTTTCGATAAAGAAGGTTACATTTTTTTTTAAACAAATGCTAAAAACCCTAAAACAAATGGAAATAACTACTGAGTGGGAAATGATAAATTTTGTCGGTTGCAACTTATGTTGGGATTCAAGAAAAATGGTATATTTTCGTCAATGGTATCAATTCCACACGCAAGTTGTCCTTCATTGCAATTGGACCGCCGTCCCTTCTATCTAAATTCAAATCAATTTAACACCGAGAAACATTGAAATAAATAAATAATTTCTGATCGGTCGAAATCCCTCGCACGGCCCCACCATTCTATTTACGAAAAAGTAATCTTATTTTCCCTTTTTTTTTTAATAATTCTTTTCTCCATCTCGACCACAAATCACACGTGGCGATCTCTCCCTGGGTCCTTCTCTCTTCAACAACAGTGACGCCGCTCTAAGCATGTTCCCGAGACGATCAAATCCAATGCGAAAGAAGTTGTATTTGGTCATCACACGCCGTAAATTCTGCTGATGCTTATTGTCATATACCTCCAAAAGCTTGTTCCCTTCTTCACCTCTTCATTGGGTCGGAGAAGAACAGAGTATAGCCTCCTCTGCTTGAATCCCCGAATTGCTTAAATATATGCGCATAGATTCATATGTGAACTCGTGCTCATGTCTTTATCGTTAACATTCCCTTTTTGTTTTTTCTGCCTCCGATCTCGCTGAGAAGAAAAGCCAGTAGGGTTTCTGGGTTGGACAAGAACGGGAAAGATCAGCTTCGAATCGGGAATTAGGGTTCTTGTTTCTTGATACACGCACATATATATGGAGAGGTATGAGATAGTGAAGGATCTTGGGTCGGGGAATTTCGGGGTGGCGAAGCTGGTTCGAGACAAATGGTCCAAGGAGCTTCTCGCTGTGAAGTTCATCGAGAGAGGCCTAAAGGTTTTTTTTTTTTTTTTTTTTTTTTTAA